GAATCTAACACAAAGTGTAGGCTTTGCGAGTCTGACGGTACTGTATGCTAGCAGCTTGCTGGCAGGTCTGACGTTACCAGCCGTAGTGCGCTGCCAACTCGGCACTAAGTGGGGCCTAGTGTTAGGGATCTCACTCTTTGCTGTGTACACGGCCAGCAACTACTGTAGTAGCGCGTATCTGCTACTCACTGTCGCCTTGTTTCCAGGCGTCGGTGCCGCTTTGATCAGGGTGGCAAGAGGAACTTACATCACCATTGCCATGGAGATGGCACATATCAAGGGAAGGAATTCTACCGTGGTCTATTTTCAACGGAATTTTTCACACGGTGTCTTACTTGGGTACGGTGTGTGGCAACTTGATCTCCTCATTGGTGTTCTAGGGACAACCCGGGGACGAGGATGATGGTGATGACGTCAGCAGTGACATCGGCCAATGGAATGCCAGCGCGTCAAACGCAGAGACTGCAGACGTGTCCTTCTGCGGCATGAGGGCATGTGGTGAGAATTCTAGACTTTTCTGACAATTGGGGCAGCACATTATGCCGGCCATTTTCCATTCTTGACGTTCGTGCGCTTGCTCATTTCAAATGGACAAAGCCGGAACTTGTGATGTCGATGAAAGTTACATTCATTTTAAAGAGCTGGGTTTGGGCCAGAGAAGGTGATACATCAAGTTGATGAAATCTGACCAAATTGTGAAAACTAAGTCAAGCATTTGGGAAAAGTTCATTAAGGGGTGCTGCACACTATGTCTAATTGGGCGCTATTGGTAATACATGTTTATTAGTTTTAATTGCTCATAATATTATATGCAGCTCAGACAGACATATGATTTTGCCAAACAAATGGATCGAGGGGAGGGGAGGGGACTTATCCCCAATAAATCATCCCTGGAATTCTAACATTGCCGTGCAATCGATCTTGTTCCTTACTGTAGCCTCGACCGAATTACTTGGCTACGGAAATAACACGGGTCTATGGGAAGTGGCTGCAGCCGCTTCCACATCCAAGTAATCTAGACTCGACTTTTTCTTTCCACCAGGAGGCGATATCGAGAGCAACCACAGCGTCCTCCGCCCCCAGACCAGTCGACTCGCACCACGCTCATTTCTATCTACCTGGCTTGCGGCGTGCTGTCAGCGACAGTTGCTGTGGTTTTCCTGGATAAAATCGACGCAGTCGAGCCCGGGACCAGACTTAGTGGGAAAGAAGAAGAAGAGGTGGCGGCCGACGGCGAACACCCACGGTCTACTTGGCAGGAAATCACGGCCAACATTGCCGCCACCTTCCGCCTGATGACTAACCCGCGCATGGCAATGCTCATACCAACGCTGTTGTACTTGGGAGTGGATGTGATGTTTATGGGCGGCCATTTTACAAAGGTGGGTTTGAACTCTTGGTGGCAGCAGATATGCCGAATAATCACGCATGCGCACAACCGAAACATTCACCGAAACAGGATTGGATTTATCGGTTTTACATTATGTGCCAGTTGCCAACCAAATTAAAAATAAACCACTGCAGATGTTAAGATAGACGCATGATGACTTGAACCTCAGCATGTATATAGACCCTTTAGATAGGCATTTTGTAAATCAAATAGTGTATTGATTCCGTTATTGCAGTGGTCTGAATTTGTCTGCTCGTATCCACTAATTTTGGTCACATAGTTTTTCGTTGGTTGCACACGAGGGATCGAGGTTGTCGGCTACGTCATGATGGGCGGTTCCGTCTCCAGCTGCATCTCATCCTTCCTGATTGGTCGGCTGATGAAGTTCGTCAGCAGGTTTGCACTCTTCATCATTGGAGGTGCTACTTACCTGCTGGTACTAGTTTTCATGTTGGTCTGGGACCCTGACCAGGGCAGATTGTGGCATCTCGTTCTGATGGCTGTGGCGGTTGGCTTTGCGAGAGCAAGCATTGCTACGATTTTTTTTTTCAATGAAAGATGATGTCTCAAAACCGCCAAACTCACTGGTTTGACTGGAATCCTGCTGCTGCACAATTTTAACGTGTTTTTAGATGGGGTAATGATCGAGAATAAGCTTTATGTGGCCTCTCTGGACTCCCATATATTTGCACTAAGTTTAGTCGGGCACCATTTGCAGTCATCAGCCGACATTTGCAGCAAAAAAGTCAGGGAAAAAAAAAAGCCGCGTCGCCGCACCACTTTTTGGACAAGCTCCATACCAGAAACCGGAGCCTTTTTTTTTTTTGGCCTAAGCTCAAGTAGGCCATCGCAAATCAAATTACGAGTCTTTCACAAGTCACATCACAAGTCGATCACAAGTCAAATACAGTTAAAACCAAGTCAATCACAAGTCACAACACATGTCATTCACAATATACATTACGAGTCAATCAAATCACAAGTAACATCAAAAGAATCACAGTCAATAAAAAGCCAAATCACATGTCGATCACAGAAAGGTGACAGTGAATAAACGCTGATAAAGGAATGTGTCACCGAATTGGGATTCCTTGTGAAAAACGTGATTGACCCATGATTTGACTTGTGACTTGCTTGACTTGTGATGAATTGTGATTACTTGTTTAATCTCCTTGACTAACAGGTTTTGTAAACTTACAAATTTAGGTTCACATTTTGAGTCGAAACGACTGACTTTGATCTTTATTATCATTTTGTTGATAGCTCTGTTAGGAATGCTGTTTGTTTGTCAACAAGAGGCAGCGTTCGGCAATCTGTGCTTCTGGCAGTCTCCGGGATCCGCCGCCATATTGGCCCTTGGTATCCCACAATCCCTGTGTGCCTACCACGTGATCTCAATCGTCATGTGCATCCTTGTGTTCTCCCTGGGCATATACTGTTTGCTGGAGCTGCAACTGAAGCGAGAGTGGACACGAGGCAAGAAGAAGCCTGAGAAGGAGGCTGAGGGGAAAGAATTGACGTCAGAAATGTCGGCCATTGCAGAGCCGACCAACAACGAAATGTAAATCGACTGATGACATGTGGAGTTCCCGATCATACCTATGAACCTATCCACGGGCTGTCTAGTATGCAGCTTTAACCGTGAGCCGAGGTTAGCACCGGGGACTCGCGTCGCGCGCAGAATGCATATTCATGAATCATGGCGGTAAAGGTACCCATAATGCTTCCCGTTCATTTTTTTTTCAAAATGAAATGAGTCGTCTAGATCACCATCCAATATTGCAGTTGGTACGAGCAGTTTAACAGCATACACGGACTAGCTCGGCGTGCAAGAATTCGTTTCAGTTGAAAATTGAAACAAAAATGTTTTGATATTTAAATACCAAACATAATTAGTAATGTTAACTGACTCCAATGTACAAATAGAGCTTTTGTCAAGCTGATTGTAACATGCTGTATTCGTTTTCAAATTTAATATTTTTAACTTTTTGAAATTATAGTATAATATATTTATTGCATGCAACACGGTTACTATTTACTTCAACACGGTGACTGTTGAAGTTCGAGGGGCTCTCGAAAGTGTTGCAAAAAGCGCCCTCTCTGTTCATGCACGGAGCCCATAAAGCATCAAATCATTATATTGTAGAGTTTTAGGTTAATTACTGGTGGCGCTGTTTACATTGTGGAGACTGGGGTCGGCGTGAGGTCAGCATGTCGCGCGCGTGCGCAGGCAGTTGTCGTGCAGATATGGAGTGTAGAGGATCGTTCACGGCCAGCTCCGTGAAACCCGGGGCTCCAGATTCAAGTGTTGTTCAAGATTGATCGGGTAAATCTAATTTTTTTCACTGATTAATTGTTCTGAGGAAGTGATTACAAGCCATTAATACATTGGAATGTTGTGTGATTGCCTCCGAGTTATTTTGTACGTCATGATTAAATACAATTGAACCCCCGAAAACAGTTATATACACGCAATAATATTATGAGATGAACTTTTATCACTTTGTTTCAAGCACAACAGGCTCTGAAATGATTCAGTTGCAAGAAAAAAAACTGACTCAAATACTGGTTAGAAAATTGTTTTAACTGGCACGATTTTAAGTTGTCGTATTTCCAATTTCCTCATCATTGTACATGTACGATTACGTCCCTGTGCTGTATGTGCCGGCAGCTTAGGGTACATATTTCTGCACAAAGTCTATGGGCAAATGGCTCTAGAGGCTTCACCGCCAACATTTCGTATTCCAATGCCTTCTGACTCGTTCGGCTTCTGTCAATACTGCCTTGACAATCAGAGGCAAACTATATTAATTGCAATATCTGTAATATTTCGGCCCTCTCGGTGCGTATCGTTTTCTAAAGGTTCGTTGTTAACACGGTTGTGTAATTTTCTAGACCAACCTTGATTGCTGCTGTGGATTCTATGTTTATTACCGGAAGCCGCTTCCGCTCGTACGCCGTGCCGCAGCGTTCCATATCGATTCGTGACTGTTTATGACCGCGATGGTCGTCATTGTTCAATTTCAGGACGATATTTTGTTAATTTCAAGATGCTATTTTGTTAAAACTGGAAACTGTAATTACAACGTGATTCCCATTGGCTGTTACGTTTCCTGCTTCCAGCGTTAGCTCCACCCATACTGTAAGATTGAACAAATTATAAAAGTTTAAGCCTTCATGGCAAGTTCAGGCTCGTTTCATGATTGGCTAGGCTTGGTATGACGTCAGCCTGTTTGTTGTCTGCGGCTGCTTAGGTGCTGAGGCGAGCGAGTGGCGTTTTGTACTCGGTGATATACGATCAACACTAACGGATTCTCGATCATTGCGTCAATCAGGTTTAGTTTTGGTGGTCAGGCTCTTTCCTGATTGTCGTTCAGTACTGTACATGCGTAGATAGCTGCCTATTAGGTTGCGTTTGCGTGTTGTGTGAGTCGTTCATTACACTAATCAGAAAAAATTTCCAGTAATGTTTTAAGTTGAGGCTCTCTCGCGTTCGTTGTTTTGAGTTTTACGTGCGTAGTTGCCTATTAATTCGCGTCGTTGTGTGAGTCGTTCATAAAAATCCTACAGCGTAGTGGATTGTGCTCAGAATTCATCTGCATCTTGGACAATGGACGGAGCAGCAGCTTTGGTTCTGGTGCTGTCAGCAATGGCAGGTAAGAAGAATAAATATCACCTGTTGTACATTCTCAAATTCCTGATTGGTTTGTTGGCAAAGTAGACAAGATTTGCCATGATATCAGGATCAGGGACATAAGGTGCATCCCCCATTTCTTTTCCAACGACCCTCCCCCTAATTTGGTAGTAGTCGATCGCTTTATTGAATCTGGTGATCGGATTCTGCCAGTTATTTGTTTCGTTTGACAAGATATCGATTTGGAGATATGATCACAGTGACGATTGAATAATCAAAACTTGATTTTGTTGTTATCAATGCATACAAAAAACAAATCAAAAATGGTTAATTTTTGGGTCACTATGTCAAAAAATTCCTAACTATGTAAATGAAATGCATAAATACCTAAGACAGTTTATCCGTTGGCCCATTCCTATTGGTGGAGAGCCCGTCACATTGCCGGTCTTAAATGGATCATAAAGACCTGCTAGCGGCCGGCCAGCTGGCTGGTCTTAAACACTTTTCCAGTGTGACATGCAATTTGGACCCCTATGAAATCTGGTGCCTTTACCGTTTTTTTGGTTGAGCGTTGACAATCCTCACGTACGCATGCGCAATTGACCTATAGTGGTAGCATTACGTCAACGCAGCTTGTGAAATATTGTCCAATTCCGGCGATTCACAATGCAGTGCGACACCAAGAGTTTGCCATGGAAAGTTCATTTTTCAAGTTTACGGTCGACAAAACATGGCCCGTTTGGACGAGTGTCAGTAGAAAACTTGAGCTAATTTGTTATAGATTGGGGCAAAGCGTTCTGCCGCCTTACAGAAAACTCCATATCGATGAAACGAAAACAAAAGGGCAAACAGATACTCGAATCATACCCTTACGAACTTTCTGGCCGTAAAAACTAACAATTTCAAATGTCCTGCGCTGCGAATTTGTCGACTATCTCCCACAAAGCATGGGGGAAAATTAACTCTCTGTGGCCAACTGTTGGTGGCGCACTGCATTGTGAATCGCCCGAATTACGTGATATAAAAATAGACGCGGTACGCGCAAAATCTGAGACAAACAAAATTTAGTGTACAAAAATTCCATAGGGTTGTGTATTTTCATAGCCACGCTACACCGGCACAGCTGCGTTCTGCGCCACATCGCGCAGTACGCGCGCCAAACTGCTCGAAAAACATGAAGTAAGTGTTAGGCGCAGCATGGTTAACTCTAACAAGATTAAGGTTTTGGGGGTACCCTCAAAACTAAGGGAGGGCACAATATGATCACATCCTTATTTCAATAATTTCCATTAAGCAGAAATGTTGATCAGCTGATGACATCATTTAGTTGCGCTACAGTGACCCCAAGAGACACTTAACTACTATTTTCCCCGGTTTTGTGCATGTTCATTCAAATACTTTCAAATTTGGTATACGTATTGTTGGAGTCAATTTGTTTCAGATCAAACAACCTTTCTCCCCTACTGTGCATTATGCCTATTTTGGGGGGAATATTTCCTTTTTGTCATCATAAATTTGGATTTGTAACCAAACTCCGCCCATCTACCTCAGGTAATGTAATAAATGAATTGGCGCAGTGACTGTATATACGTATGCCACTTCGCCCATGCCTTAGCCTTTCGCCAAGGCCATCGTGGCTTAGAGTCAGCAAACACGAGTGGCGAAGCCACGAGGCTTTTTCCAACTTGATTGTGTTGAATTATTCATATTTTTATGCAAATAAGAATAATGCAGAAAGGTAAACCAATCACAACGCGGATTTTGCCTAGTTGCTTCCATTTGTGAAAGAAGGGTGAGTGTAAGGAAAACAGTTCAAGTGCGCGCACAAGTACAAGTGCGCGCACAAGTGCAAGTGCGGGCACAATGCCCAGCCAACAACGATATAACCGTGCGTGCACGGTACGCTTACGCACGCCCATGCAAAAGCGATGTCAGTCACTATTTATATGCAGTGGCTGGCCGGTCAGGAAAGTCGGGGTAAAATAATGTCTAAGTGTGTCACACCACTTTTGCATGCGCGTGTTTATGGTGTAAAATCGAGGACACACACGTGCAAAATCATCGAAGAATCGAGGACAGGAACCAAACCGAGGAGTCCCGGTTAGAAAACATGTGTACAAAACCAATGAGAGATGTTGCGAAAAAACTTAGAGTATAAGTTAAGAAAAAGGGAAGAAGAACAATAGAAAATCCTTGATTTCAAACGCATTATATTGGGATGATAATGCTAAGATCATCTGCTCTTGGATTGAATTAATAAAGAATACGACATTCAAATGTTATTCAAAACAAAAGGGATTTTTTATTGGGGTTAACCTGTAAAAGATGTTGAGATCCATTGATACCGCTTCGTGTTGTGCGTACCCAGAGCCGTTTCAAAGCATTCGAATGTACGCGAGCGTGTATCTGTTTCTACTCCTCATCATGGGATGCGTGTGCGTTCTCCGCGAAACTTTGGCTGCGCGAATACGTAGACATCGCTGATTGCGTGTTAGGAATAATATCAAAACAATCTGCGCGCGTTTTTAAGAATCAAAACGCTCATTACCTGAAATACTGTGATATGATTGGCTTCTACCAAAATTGGTAGAAGCCAATCACATCGAGAATAAATTTCCATAGACTGTGTACAAACGTGGAACAAACCAGCGCGTACGCTTGGCAGATTGACCAAGTCTGGGTTGCTGCATCACTTGAAAATAACATGTACATGTACGTTTTTAACATGATGGTCCGGATTCGACGCATGAGAGCGCGAGTTATGATTTTGAAGAATGAATCCTTTCAAACACAACGTTTGGACGTTGTGTTAATTAGCAAAGATTTGTATTAAATGTACGTACCCCTTTCGTGCCTTTACAACCACAGATACCAGCCTCGACTCCAGGGGCGGGTGCTCGTTCCTTACACTAACCCCTGGCTGTGATGATGACGTAAATGACACTGAATGGCTATTCACTGCGTACTGCCCGGGCATTTCGAAGATTGCACGCCGGGCGCGCCCATAATGCGCTCGCGTGCTTAGCTTTGCACGTAACGTCACGTACGAACAAAATATTATGATTCAAAAGTCACGAAGCCTGTACAATATGGATTATGTCAGCCGCGTTTTTCCCTAAAAAACCCCCTGTATCTGTCGTTGTAAACGCACGAAAGGGGAACGTACATTTATTACAAATCTTTGCTAATTAACACAACGTCGAAACGTTGTGCTTAAAAGGATTGATTCTTCCAAATTACAACTTTTAACATTTTAAAGATGGCGTCGGCACGTAAAACGGATAAACTGTAGCCCTAATTATAATGTACCGTATTTTGGTATATTTAAATTTAGCCCCTGTCACACTTTCGCATATTCTAATTCCTTATGAGTTCCTTATCAATTTTTTTTCAATACGCAGCCGTACGCTCAAAACGTCGAAAATGTTGAATACTTTGACTTATGTGCGACGCACATCTAGCGTACAAGAACGAATTCAGCGCATACATTGCGTATGAGATGCGTATGAGTTGCGTATGCAGTGCACAACATTATTTTTCGGGCTGCGAATAGGTCAGTATGCAGTGCGCATGCCTAGCGTATTCCGGACGCACCCGACTTATGCCGACCGCATGCCTGACGCAATACGTCGGCATTCGCTATGAGTTCGTTCAGCGTGCGTTGTATCTGCGCTGCAAGCACGCTTTGTATACGTCAAATATAGGCGTACACAGCGTAGTTTTGTGCATGCCCAAAACTACCCGGCGTATGGGCCGTACTATGCGTATGCCTGTGTACATAAACCTTACACAAAACGTTAGAGATGCATATGAGGTACGTATTTTTCGTACGACTGCGTATGAAAAAAAATGTCAATGCGCAACTCATAAGGAATTAGGATACGCAGAAGTGTGACAGGCCCTTACACAATTCCAGGGGTTATGATCGCGCTAAGCATGATGGGAAACAACATGGCGCTGCAAGATCGTACCCACGGGGCACGAGGTTGCACAGATACAGGGTTTTTTTTAGCGAAAAACGCGGCTGACATAATCCATATCGTACAGGCATCGCGACTTTTGAATCATAATTTTTTTTCGTACGTGACGTTTACGTGCAAAGCTAAGCACGCGAGCGCGAGCGCATCATGGGCGCGCCCGGCGTGCAATCTTCGAAATGTCCGCGCATTACGCTGTGAATAGCCATTCAGCGTCATTTACATCATCATCACAGCCAGGGGTAAGTGTAAGGAACGACCACGCGCCCCTGGAGTCGAGGCTGGGAAATACCTAATGACGTATTGTTATCCTACCCAACTGGTACCCCGACACCTACTCCAGCCGGTACGGAGAAACCAATCCAAGCTGGTGCGGGGATACCTACCCCAGCCGCTACAGAGAAACCTACCACAACCGTTACGGGGAAACCTACCCCAACCGTTACGGAGAAACCTACCCCAGCTGATACGGAGAATCCTACCCCAGCTGGTGCGGAGAAACCTACCCCAGCCGCTAGAGAGAAACCTACCCCAACCGTGACGGAGAAACCTACCCCAGCTGGTACGGGGAAACCTACTCCAACTGGTATGGAGAAACCTACCCCAGCTGGTGCGGAGAAACCTACCCCAGCCAATACAGAGAAACCTACCCCAGCCAATACAGAGAAACCTACCCCAGCTTGTACGGAGAAACCTTCTCCAGCTGGTGCGGGGAAACCTACCCCAGCAGGTAAAAATAAACATACCACAGTCGGTAAGGAGAAACCTTTCCAAGCTGGTACGGGGAAACCTACCCCGGCAGGTATGAATAAACATACCACAGTCGTAAAGGAGAAACTTTTCCAAGCTGGTACGGGGAAACCTACCCCGGTAGGTACGAAGAAACATACCACAGTCGGTACGGAGAAACCTATATAGGCATACCCCAGCTGGTACGGAGAACCCCTTCTTTACGGGGAAACATACCCCAGCTTTAAGTGGTTGTATGATCTTCAGTAATCATAGGTTTGACCATGAGCATATGGATTTGTTCTATCACAAGGGTATACATTGTATTGCATTGAGATTGAACATTTTATTTCTTACCGCAAATCAAGGTTCATCGAAGGCTGCTTACCAATTAAAAGCAAATACATCCAGGTGTTTTAGTGCAACTCCCAGAGTAAAACCAACAGAATAAACAACGGAAAATCCATTGATGCTTTGTCATGCTCGTTGTATTTTCTCCCAAATTTAAAATGTTTCTCACTGCCACATTCGTGGGAGGGGGTGAAATGTGCAGTTATAATTGTGAGATTTACCAGCAAACAAAGGAGGAAATTATCATTCTCTCAATACATCTTTTTTTTTATCTATCAATATGAATGAATATTTACTTTGCTTACTCATTTGTTATCAACAGTGTGTTCCAGTCCGCAACCCCTCGGTATAGAGGACGGGAACATCCAAGATGATCGCATCACGGCGTCCAGTAGTCGCGACTGTTGCCGTGCCAGTTATGGACGCCTCAACAATAACGAGAAATGGTCACCCATGACGTAGGTATCAAAGGGAGATACCACACCTGACACTTCACTCTCATATCTTTATTCACTCTTTATCATTACAATGCCACACAACGCTCATGAATGTGTTTAATTAACAAACATGCAATTGCATCAATGCGTTTTGTTTTTGTACGGTTTGTTTGATTTTGTTTGGCATTGTTTTACTGTTTTGGTTTCTTTTTCATTATACATAAAAAAATGCTCATCCCCGGCCAAAGCCAAACCCGGACTCATGTGCATTTGATTTGCACACTGTAATTGTGTTCAGTTTTCAAATCCATTCACACAAGCGGATTGGCGGAGTATCGTTATTTCATTGTTCCTCATCCTCTCTTCACTCTGTGTACAGTGACGAAGCTAATCCCTGGATCGAGGTGGACCTCATCCAGAGTACAGTGGTGACTGGAGTCACCACACAAGGCGGCCTCGGCAGATGGTATGTGAAGCGGTACAAGGTGGCGTATCAGCAGCAGCCCTCATTCCAACGCAAACACGTGACAGATGGAAACGGAGACATCAAGGTAAACATCAATCTTTACTAAGTCTTGCTGTAAGCTACATTTAACTTTTGTACGTAAATCAGTTTTGAAAGAAAATGCAAATGTATTTTTTCTCATATTTTGTTTGAGCTTTATTTCAATATGGCAACTTCATTACGTCCGACTATATTTGGTTCCATGTTTATGCAACCATTTAGCTACACTGAAATCGTGTCTGGAATTAAAAACGTAAATGGAACCAAAAATTATTTCAGATCATGTAAACAAGAAATGGCAGCGAGTTAAATTAGCGTTGTGCAAGAGGGTGAGATTTAAGGTTTTCAGGATGAAAAGCAGGACATTTTTGACACGTAGTAGCAACCAAAAAAGCAACATAAAATACATTGATGCTGCATTTTCTTATAGGAAGGTTATTTAAGAGAAAATAGCTTCTTGTCCCCCCCCCCAAGCAAAATGTCTGAAGCTCAAATAGAAACCCAAATAAGCCCAGTCGAGAGATGGCTATATGGCTGAAAATGATCTTCAATGTGAGTGCCCGCGCAGGACAAACAGTTTACTTTATATAGTTCAGTTACGGTTAGTTGAAATTCTGTTTTGAAGGAAGACCCCGTTAGCTAAGAATGCCCACTTTTTCGTAGTTTTGGTCCTATACTTCACTACAAGTAAGCTATTTTGTTACAAATGTGAGTTTATTGCGTTGGGATTCATTTCAGGTGTTCATCGGTAACACTAATACCAACAACCCGGTCACTAACCTGTTTGATGAGAGTGTGGTGGCGACGGTAGTGCGCATTGAGCCTACTAAATGGCAATTTGGTGTTTCTCTGCGATTGGAGCTGCTTGGGTGTCGCTGTGGTTAATTCAGCTGAAGCGTTCAGGTGATTCTGTCCGACAGCGCTGACAGAATTTAATTCTTTATAAAAATAAATTCGACGGTAGATGATTTTAAGTTTGATAATAAATACTATGCTTGGTAGGAGAAATATTTACACAAAGTAAGGATACACTGAAGATTTAAAATATTCACTAAGGACGCTTATGAGGGTCTTTAACTAAAAGGTATCTCGCGGGAAAATACAACAAATCAAAATATGTATTAAAATTCATTAAAGCTATAGTCCATCATTTCCACCTATCCGAAACGTAACTGGCGTAATTATTGTTGAAAAACATAATTGGTTGAAAGATAGTAAGGGGACTAAACTCACTGTGAAATTATTCTTTCTGGCAAGCTGTCATTTTGAAGAAATCAACGAAAGAAGGCCTTCCAACGGTGCGTCTTAAGACGCATCGTTGGAAATTTCCGTTATAGTTCTCTTTTTGATTCGGCAAAGCGAACGCAAGCGTTGACACGACGCACACACGCGCGCGGTTGCTATTATTTGTTGGATCAGTGCGCGACATCACGTAGCTGTGATCGACTCAGTGAGAACGTGTCTGGGACGCTGATTTCAGGCCCAATTCAAAACACGATTCAGCAACTTTTGAGTTGAAATTGAGATCCTAGAATGCTGTTTTTTCCCCGGAATATACAGCTGAAGCTGAGCTGATACTTCATCAGGTTAGTTGTTCAGTACCCTTCTTTAGATTTGAGCACTTTTGTTGCTCTGAACGAACAAAATGCACAAATTACAAATGATGGACTATATCTTTAACCTATTATCTCCAAGTTTCGTTTGTTGAATGCAATATGTACACAATTATCTGAAATTCAAAACATAATGAAAAATGAAAGTAAAGTAATATTTTATTAAACAAGTATTTCCGCTCTAAAAAGAAACGTCTCAAACTATTGCAGTGTTTTTGTTGTAATGAAGGGGCCGAGTCATTGGCCGAGTCATAGTACACTGTGATTTCCCTAGGCAACGGACAATACATGTGCTTAAGATGTGCTCACGAAACAGTGCAGTTGGACAAGGATTCTACTTGGGAAAATCCCGATATGGCCTCACTGGTAACCGTGAAGCGGCGAGCTATCATAAGAAGCATGGGCTTGGCTGGCTCCAGATTCACGAATCACCAGTGCTACAACTTCGAATGTTAGAAGTACATGTATTTGGGAGGCGGGAACTAGACTAGACCGTAATACAGACTGCAACTGCGCCACCGCACTAGCATTGCTTTCCATGTTGAGCAATGGAGTCGATTAAAAAGAAATGTACTCGATTTGTGTTCCCAAGTACTGGAGTTAAGTACCGAGTACCAAACCATCGAGTTTGTGGTAAACTCGAATACAGGCGAATGCCTAATAATTTTCGAGTTTACCCTGATAGTCGAGAACCGGCCGAGAATTTGCTTGTACTCGAATTGTACTCGAGTACGAGTACGAGTACTCCAACACTGATATTACGCTGTTTATTGTGCTTTTATCGTAAATCTTCAATACAGTGTAGAACGTTTCCATACAGTGTTCTAAATAAATAAATTTACGAATTGTTAAACGTGATACTTCACAGTAAAAAAACGTCGAAGTGGCTAGTGGCAAACCATCTCGAGAATTAAATTCTTTGTAGTGAAACAGCTTTTAGATTAAAGGCCGGTTCATACATTACACGTATGCAACTGCAAAGCGCATTTGACGTCAGGGCGCATTCGCTAGGAAATGCCTTGGTGTTGAAATGTGTTCATCTTTCGCAAATTCGCGGCAGGAAAACTTGACATGACGTCACAAAGTCGCGTTCGCTTTTGTGCCGAGTATGAACTAGTGTTAAAGTTGGTCTTTGCTTTATTATAATTAAGCATGTCAGTAACTGACGTATTTCGCTGTAAATTCCATTCACGATTAATAGTCATACAATAATGTAGGTGTATAGTTTGGTATAAGGTCTATGGTGTATTGCTGCCGTAATGTAAATTTTTTATTGACATTTTGTATTTGTTGTGTTTCATATGGAAAATATTTAAATTCAAATACGTGTATACATCTATGTGTAACAATGTTAATTAATATAGTTTTGGACAATTATTTTTCAATTATATCATTGCCGTGCATAATTGCTAGGATGTATAGGTCATCAAAATACCCTAATTTCAAACTATCCGGATCAAATAGAGTGGAGGGTCAATTTGTGTTGATTAGAAGAAAACAAATTGTTTATTACCACATATTAATAGTGTGATGTTCATTTGATGCCGAGCTGCCATAACTAGAAGCTAGGAGGAAGCAATCTTTATCTCATTGAAGCACATACTTACCAATATTGTTCAATTATAATTCATTAATGCTTGTATACGCTCTGTTAATATGTACATGTTTGTGAAATAAAAAACAAAACCACTAAGAAAGAACGCACTTGATAATCTTTAGTTGATCAGTTGATGTTCTTTGCGTATTGAATATGAAGTGGACAAAACGACTTGCTGCCTGTCCAAATGTGATTGCAATTATAAAATACATCAGAAATGGAAAGAAAAAAAATCCCACTTTGTTCTTCTATCCGCGTGTTAAGCATAGCTCTTAATCAAGGTACCGACTTTAACAACTTTATTATCACCAGAGAGCGCCCAGCAACACTGACACATTCTTAGAGCCAAACCCCATCCTATACATATATTTCGGTTCTTTTGGTTCTGTTTATAGCTCATTGTATATAATTTAAAGAAAAGAAGGCCCTGAGACAAGGAGCTTAAAGGTATTGCAGCAGTTTCAGTATCATAATCGCACCGAGTCTATGGGCAAATGACTCTTTAGCATCCCCACCATTGTGACGACGACGTTTGATTTAACATTTCGTAATTCAATGCCTTCTGACTCGTGCAGCGTGTCCTATCAACACTGCCTGAAAAATCAAAGGCAAAATATCTTGATTAATTGCAATTTCCGTAATATTTCGGCCCACTCGGTACGTATCGTTTTTTAAAGGTTTGTTGTTTACACGGTTGTGTAATTATCTAGACCAACCTTGATTGCTGCTGAGGATTCTGTGTTTATTACCGGAAGACGCTTCCACTCGTACGCGGTGTCGCACCGTTTCATATCGATTCGTGACTGTTTATGGCAGCGATGGTAGTTATTGCTCATTATCTTCAAGCAAACTTGTATCCTCGATCCTGATTGGTCGATCCATGAAAACAACAGTGTGGTGAGGCTGTATTGCACGGTCCATATCGCACCCTGCGTATTGCGCTATTCCAAGATGCGAGCGACATTCCAGCTGCATGCGCTAAACCGCTAAAAGGTTCGTGTAAAGTGATGGTCCAACTTTACTGCGCATCAAGTTTGCTTGTAGATAAATTCGTTATCACGCTCGCGCTCGTGGAACACGGAAAATGTTGTGCGTCTGTGTCCCATTTACCACTCGGCCTTCGGCCTCGTGATAAGTGGGACACAGACGCACTACATTATTCCGTGTTTCACTCGCGCTCGCGGGATAACTTATAATTATCAAGACGATATATTTTGTTTTCTTTCCGGATGTTATTTTGTTAAAACTGAAAAGTGTAATTACAGCAGGATGCCCATTGGCTGTTACGTTACCCGCTTCCAGCATTAGCTCCACCCATACTGTAAGAATGAACAAATCATACAAGTTTCTGCTTTCGTTGCGAGTTCAGGCTCGTCCGTGATTGGCTAGACTTGCTTTGACGTCAGCCTGTTCGTGGTCTGCGGCTGCTTGAGGCGGGCGAGTGACAATTTTTATTTGGAGATTTTACGATCAACACTAGCGGAGTCTCGATCATTTCGTCAATCAGGTTTGGTCTTAGTGGTCAGGCTCTTTCCTGATCGTCGTTTAGTACCATACATGCGTAGCTAGCTGCATATTAGGTTGCGTTAGTGTCGTATGTGTCAATCATTTTACTAATCAGAAAAAGTTTCCAGTAAGGTTTCAAGTTGAGGCTCACTCCTAATTGTTGCTCAGTGGTTTACATGCGTTGTTATAATTCGCGCTGGTGCGTGTGTGATGAGTTGTTGATAAAATAGTACAACCTAGCGGATTAATTCGTGTTCAAAACTCTCTCGTGGAGAGTGAATATAGCGGCAGCTTTGGTTTGGATGGGGATGCTGTAGGCAATGACAGTTCTGTTATTGAATATGTATCACCGATTCACCTCTAGCACATCTTTGAATCCCTCTCTTTTTTATTTGGGAGGGGGGGGGTCAAAAATAGACAATCTTAGCAATATCAGAATTGGGGACACAGTGTGCACTGCATCCGTGCTTTCCATGATATCAAATATTCATAAATACTTAAGACAGTTAACCCACTCCTATTGGTCGAGAGCCCGTCACGATGCCGGTCTTAAACGGATGATGAAGATATTGCTAGCTGGTCTTGAACACTTTTCCAGTGTCATATGAATTTGGGACTCTTTAAAATCCAGTGCCTTTTACCGCTTTATTGGTGGAACGTTCACAATCCGCAAGTAGGCATCTTCCAGTGTTCGCTCGTACTCCCCGCCCTGCAAACAGGACGCTGGGATACACTGATGAGCTTCACAGAATCTTGTGAAGGAAGTGGCCTTTGACCTATGTATGAAGCATCTGTTTAAGACCGCAGTTAAACAGTGCGCGCAAATGCTATCCGAAAACTTTCCAAATGAAGTGCGCACATTTCATACCTGATGTGATTTCTTTTTCATTGCGGACCATGAAACAGAATAAGGAGTGCGCGAAACCATCGTTAAAAAAATGTAGATATTACCAATTGACCGTGAAACCAATCATTAAAAGTGAATTAGAAATATATATCTCTGTCGGTACTAGACTATACCTAATAGGGGTTTCCGTGCACTTTGCTGTTAAAGGTAGATTAAAGGGGCGAGTTGTTTTAGTTATTCTGTATGTTTCATCAGATGGAGTGACGTTAAGACCAAAGGCTTTTAAAAAAAATCATGACTACGTTTTTAGTGAATGGGGCTT